TATAACTCATTACTATATCCATCATAAAATTCATCTTTAAAAAGTTCTTTAAAATGAGATCCATTTATAATATATTTTAATAAAAAATAGAAAATCAATAAAAAAAATAAGTTTTAATCAAAAAATTAATTTCAGTTTGATAAATATACTTTCAATTCATTAGAAATAATTTAAGTGCAATAAAAAAATATCAAGTTAATAATAACATAGATATCTATTTACATATAAAACTACAAAAAGTACACTATTATATAAATAAGCGATATGATATCGTATGTCTAAATATTTTACATTATCAAAAGGGGTTACATGACCATATTTAACATTCAAGCTAAAAAGTTTAGGACAATCTGGGCATCGCCCGGGCACAAAACTAGTCACTAATAAATAAAGTCGGTCTCGCAGCCAGGCCATCAGACAGCGACACTTGTCATTCCAGGTTTTCGCCAAGTGTCGAGTCACGTAGGCGACAAATAGGTATTATTGTGACACATATAATGCTAAGTAAGCGAATTTTGAATAGATTTTTTAAGATAAAAACGTTGTATAGAGTTTTATCATCGATATAATTCTAATATTTCATATATACAAAAATAATCATAACTTTTAATAAATGTCCTATAGCTCGGTTCTATTTCTATCATAAAATTAGTTTTAAAAAGTTCTTTAAAATAAGATCCATTTATAATATATTTAATATATTTAAATAAATAATAGAAGATTAGTAAAAATAATTTTTAATGAGAAAAATTAATTTTAGTTTGGTAAAAATACTTTAATAAAAATAATTTAAGTTCGATTAAAAAAATTTAAATTAAAAAAAACTTAGATATCTATTTGCAAACAAAACTATAAAAAGTACACTATTATATAAAAAGCGGTATGATATCGTATGTCTAAATATTTTACATTATCAAAAGATATTATATTACCGTATTTAACTTTAAACCAAAGAGTTTATCCTAAAATTTTATCAGCAATCCGGGTCGGGCACAAAACTAGTAACTAATATATAAAGCTAAACTTTTAGCCAGGGCATGAGACATCGACACTTGGCATTCCAAATTTTCGCCAAGCGTGACGCCACACACACAACAGTTAATTATTAATATGGCACGTATGATTTATTTGTATATATTAGATAGATTTTATAGGATAAAAAGGTTAGTTTAGAGTTTTATTTTCAATAAAATTTAGATAGGATAGGATAAAATTATTGGTTTAGAATTTTATTTTTAATAAACTTTCAATATTTCATATGTACAAAAAAAAAAAATATAACTTACAATTAATATCGTATATCTTAAAAAAAAAAAAAAAAAAAAAAAAAAAAAAAAAAGTACTTTATGAGTTTTATAAATATTGCAATATTTTTCCCAAAAAGCTATCACATTCTTAGCAAAAGTGTCCCAGATTTTTTGAAGTTAACGAAATATTCAAAACAACAACCATTTATAATATAATTTTACATAAAATACTTCACAACCTAATATGACTTTTATATTTTTTAACATCAAATCGTTTGTTGATCATAAAAATTACTGATGATGGTATTTTTTTATCACTTAATTAACTAATATTTTTACAAATATATATAATTATTAATTCATGCATAGTAGATTGAGATTACGTATACTTTCTCCGTGTTTAATACTAGCAATGCACTTCACGGTAAATAAGAAAAGCGGGTCTCGCATGATTTAATACACTTATAATGGAGGTGAGAGATTGCTAAAGAGTTAGTAGACCATGAGCTTTAAATATGGGTAATAGTACATTTTTTTAACAAAAAAATGTATATCTGAATATTCAATAAACAACTCAGGCATCGCACGGGACAAAAAACTAGTTAGTTATATAAATCAAGATGATTAGTTTTTGGAAGTAATTAAGGGGCCGTTTGGTTTGGGGTAATCAGGAAAGGGAAAGGGAATCAACAAGAATGATTACCTTAGTTGTTGTTTGTTATGTCAATTCAACCATTCCCTTTCCCCACTTAATTACCCCAAAATCCTCTACTCTCATTCCCTACCCCCCCCCCAATGGTATTTGCATTCCCTTTCCCCTAAGCCACCAACACCACCACTGCTCCACTTGCACTAAGACCCCACCATCATCGGAACCCTTCCCACCACTACCCCCATCAGCACCGCCGCTCTTGCAGTCTTCCCACCACAGTCCCGTCAACATCGCCCCTGCCCACGACCTGAAATCAACCACCCTCCACCTTAAAAACACACCACCCACCAGAAATCAAACACAATACGAGCTTCGAGGGTGGTTGGGAAGGGCTTCAAGGGTGGTTGGGAAGGGTTTCTAAGGTTTTTTCTAGGGTGGGGGAAGTTTTTCGGGGGAGAGAAAATGCGGCGAGGGGTGGGGCAGGTGCGGCGAAGGACGGGGTGGCTGGAGAAGTGGGATAGTGAAGAAAGAGGGGTTTGTGTAGTGGTGGTGATGTGGTGGTGATGTGGTGTATTTTCATTCCCTTTGATTTTTAAAACAAACAACACCCTAAATTTGAGGTATTTTCATTCCTTTCTCTTTCATTCCCTTTGTTCATTCCATTTCGATTACCCCTTGCGAACCAAACGGCCCCTAAGTATATAAACCTAGGAGATTAGTTTTATAGGAAACAAATCGAGGAGAGAAGACTTTAAAATGTTCAAACTAGCTGTTATATGAACCCCTCATCCAGAAACTTGTCTAGAATCAAGGTTTGAGGTGATGAAATCTAATTTTATTTGGTTTATTAGGTGGTATTTAGATAAAGTTTTAAAGGGATGGTTTAAGTAAAAAGTAGTGTATAGTGAAGTAGTAAAAATGAAAAGTGGTATTTGAGGGATTGTAAAATGCAATTTATGTTTTACATAACTACTTGTCCGTCAAGATAGTCTTGACACACTGAAATATACCATGTACATTATTAGAAGTACACTAAGCTAGTTGCATTGTAGTTGAAAACTCCCTCGTTTCAAATTAAATACCTCAATGGCTCAGTCTAACTTAGTTTCACATATGTCACTTTGACCTCCATTGGTGCTTTATACATAAAAATAAGCAGATTCATATGTATATTTGTTAGGATTGTCTCAATGTATAATGTTTGAATATTCAATTTTTATTATTTTTATTTATTAAAAATAAACATATATTATTGGTCAAAATTTTGCAATGACAATGTATATACTTGTATTTAATTGGGGTATTTATTTTGAAACTGAGTAATTAATTGGCAATTTTTTTAAGAAAATAAATAAATAAATAAATTTGTAAGGTTCCTATTTTACCTTGCAAAGAGTGGCAAACTTTCCTTTACGTTCTCAAAATCTAGGCCCAAAATATATCACACCTCAAAGAGTTATTGAGCCTAGGCGTTTATGTATGTCTATTTGTATGGGCTTCGTGGATGGGTTTGGGTATGTACGAAGATACTTCGTACTCCATTTTAAGTCTTAATTTCCTTAGAAAGTTGCATTTTATCCTAGGTCCTTTATATTTTATTGTTCGTGCTGATGAGATTCTTGGATATCTATAATCTATCGTAAATTCGTACCTATTACTAAAATAAAAGCCGCCAACATCATTATTGTCTACATGAGAGACTCTTCAATTGTTTACGCAAGCATACCCGATAAATCAAAGCTTAATAGGTTATTAGACTCTGACTAATCTGAATTCAAGCTAGGTCGGACCCCAATTGGAGGGAAAACTCTCCCAACAAATATTATGTGTGCCAAAGTCTCGAACCCTAGACCTTTGTTAGGGCTAGAATATCTCTTTTACCAATTGATTTAAGCACTTGTTTTATATGGAGTTAAAACTTGATTTTTAATACTATGTGTTTGGTTTTGTTAGAGAATGAACAATTTTCATCATATGACACCTAAAGGCTAAAGTTACAGTATGAGTTATACTCACCTCCCCTTGAATTTATGAACCTCATACTTTGTGGGTTTTAGACTTTTAGGTATGGATTTAGAGATTGAAATTTTCGCAAACAAATACTTCGTACAAGGTATTTGTTTTTACCTATTTCAACTTTGTACCAAAATTGCGCGGATTACAAATATCCATGATTCTAAATGGCTTCCATCCTAGGTACAAACCCTAACAAAATACAAATCCAATCCAGCTTAAACCAAACACATTTGGCAAGGCATGAGTTTCTCTAACATACCACTCTGGAAATCGTTTTCCAATCCATTGAATTTCCAAAAAAAAAAAAAAAAAAAAAAAAAAATCTCTTTCTGTTTCATAATAATGGCAACAGTTTGATTTTTGCACTATCCATATACTTACTTTGACTATCCTTTTTACCCATACATAAAAATATATATTTTGGCCATGTAAAATGTTTTTAGATTAGTCTTTATACTTCTTACGTAGTAATAATATACGGAGTATTAATATATAATTACAAATATTACTGGACAAAATTGTGCATTGACATGTGTGTCGGTTAAAGTATTGCGATTATTATGAAACAAAGGGAGTAAAAAAATGTTAAGCAAAACGACTAGAGTTAGCAAATGTGTCATGTCATGCTCGTATTCTTTCTCAAATATAATTTGGGTTAAAAAACCTAAACAATAATTCTTGATACTAACTCTTTTTTATATCTAGTGTATATCATATTATCATATCGTGTCAACTTTAAAACTTTACTAGCTCTGAAACCGACCCTTCTGATTCAAATCAAAGCAAACCAAACCAAATTATACTTTGTTAAAATTCAAATCAAAATATCTAATTTCAATGATAACAAATTGTTACCCAAAAAAACAGGGTACCCTACTGACATAAGATAGGGGTAATTTGACCTTTTCTTAAGAAGAAACCATCCATTTCCATCACACATTTCAATCTTTCCACCCATTTTTAACACTCACATTCTTCACTCTCCCCACTTCCCAACCTTCCAATTTCCCGCAATTCTCTCACTCCCACACACATTCTAGAGAGAGAAAATCTCACTTAGAGAGAGAAACCTTCAAACCATAGCTATGCCGAGAAGCAGCTTCGCCAAGGTTGACGTTGTTATCGACACTGGTAACCCTTTGTTGGACCGTACTGTTGATGGGTTCTTGAAGATTGGCACTGTAATTATTTTTTTTTGGTTAAATTCTTCATTGATTGATTACATTTTGCTTACCCTTTTGTTGGATATTTAAAGTTTTGATTTTTTTACTTTACCGGGTTTTTTATTTTCAGGTTGCTGCTACTAGAGGCTAGAGCTGTTGCTGAAGATGCTTACCACATTGCTAAGAAAGGTTGTCACACTTTTTGTAATTTTTTAAGTGTTTTTTGTGATTGTGGTGAATTTTGATTTTTAACAGTTTGTGTATTAGTGGGTTTTGAGGTATATGCAATTTTGTAGTACCTCGGTTCGGGTTTACTTGTCGTATTACTAGTTCAAATTACATTGTCAATGTAACTATCAATTCCGGAATGATCCTACTCCCTTTGTACTAGTAGTCTGTAATCATATGATTAATGTGCAATTTTTTTAGATGTAACCTTTTATTTGTATCTCTCTTGATAACGTTAATTAAGGAATTTGCTGATCAACCACATTGCTAAGATTGGTTCGTACTCTTTTGTTGTATGGATTCCTCATTTTTGCTAATTTTAATTATTTTGGGTGGTTGTGGTACTAATGGCAGTTTGTGTATTAATGTGAAATATTTGTATTATTTTGGTTTGGATAGTTGTCACATTGCTTGTTCAAATTACACCTTCAAGTATCAACAACTATAAATTCAGAATTGAGGGTGTAATGTGTGTACTAATAATATGCAGTTATGTGATGATTGTGCAATTCCTAATATTGTAACATGCTTGGTAATGTTAAATTAATAAGTGTGCTATAACCGCACTGCTAAGAGTGGTTCTTTCTTCTATTGTGTTCTTTTATTCGTAATTTCTCACTTTTGCTGCTTTGAACTGTTTTTTTTTCTTTTTGGGTGGTGATGATGATTTTGAAAGTTTGTGTTTCATGAATGAATTATTCTCACTTTTGCTGCAGTGAAATTTGAGTTTAGTTTAGTTTAGTTTTTTACTCGGGTAATTGTTGTAATCATGACAGTTAGTGACTTAGTGTGTTTATGGGTTTTGAGAAATATATACTACGCTGCATTTTGGTTTGCATTTAATTGCATGTTACTCATCATGCATTGAAATATGACTATTAATTAGGGACCGGGGATGTTATATGTTTTTAAAGTCACCTCCCTCTGTCTTAATAATCTGCAATTTTGTGATGATTATGAAAAGATTTGTAAAACACTTGGTGATGTGCTAAAAAACAACTTTTCTTTTCTTTTGGCAGGAAGTCTTTCAAGCAAGGATCTTGAACATTCGGTAAGCTCAGTGTTCTTTTTTAGTTGCTTGAATAGTAGAGCCCTTGGTTTTGCATCTCTATTGACATATTTTGAGCAAGATTTCCAAAAATATTAAACTAAAAAGAAAAAGTTTAGCTGAAAAATATGGGTAGCAACAATTTTAAATATGGATGATTTGACAGTTTTGGAAAGTTGGACTCTCTGTAATACACAAAGTGCATATTGTTATAGCTGGTCTTGGATAATATATGCCAAAAGATCTGATAATTTGGCAGTGTAACCATTGTTATTTTGAATGTTGTGAATCAAAGTTGATCACCCACTTGTAATATCCTTATAATTTATCCTAAAATTTAACCAACTTGTATATTTGCAGCTGAAAAAGATGTGCAAAGAAGGAGCATACTGGGGTAAGTGCTAGATTAAGTTCTACAGTACAAATATTGCTCTAATGATGATAATTAAGTGTTGGAATCTTTGCAAATTTGACCATTGTTATTGTTATACTCGGCAGGAACCGTAGCTGGTGTTTATACTGGGGTGGAATATGGACTAAGAAGGGCTCGTGGAACAAATGATTGGGTAATTTCTTCCTCCAACCATCTAATAAGTTAATTATTATCAGTGCAATTTACCGATTTGATGGAGACAACAATGTGTAATATAATGCAGCAAATGGATATCACATATCAATCTGTCTTTTCAAAATAAGTTGCAATATATTGTTTTACATTGTGTCATAACACAAAGACTTGGGATTTTTCTATTGATCTAACATAATACATATTAGGCACAACATAGACCTAAGAGACCCTGATAGTCCATGTATCCAGGATAGCTGAAACATGAAACTTCTTGTTATTCTATCCCTGCGTACACTGGTAAGGTAGCTTTTTGTACCTTCTAGAACATTTCTCACTATAAAAATCATGCATCCTAATCTAAAAAGGTTTATTGGGTATCATTACATTTATCTTTAATCGTAGATTGGGCTGTTAAAACCTCTAGTCGGGGTTTGTAAATTTTAAGTAATACTTGTATCAACATTGCGCATTGGCCTTGTAAGTTGAGGAGCTAGGTTGCTGTTATGTAATTTATGTATTGCACCAGAGGATGACAGTTTTGGAGAGTCTCCTCTTAGCTGTTTTCTTGTTCTGAGTTTGAAGTTATGGAAAATTTCAATCTCTTTGTTGACTTCCTTAACGTGAGGTTTGTACATTGTCTTGTTTTCTCAACTCACTATGTCACCTCACGTGGTTATCAGTATTAATTGATACCCTTTGCCAACCTTCTCTTTATTTGTTCATGGTTATGTATGTTTGTCAAATGCTTATCTGTATTAATTGATACACTTCTCCACCCTTCTCTTTATTTGTTTGTGGTTACATGTGTTTCTCTAAGAATTGCGAATATGGATACAAAATTTACTTTTTTCTTCTTCTGGGGAGTTTGAAGGGGAGGGAGAGTACCATACTTCCTGAAAACTACATTATTAGCATCCTAGACAGATTGTGATACTTCTAAATTTCAACAGGTGTATATCCTTTCTTGGACGAAAAGCTTACAAACCACAATAGTAGTTGTCCCCCTAACTTCTCCCTAGTGAATTCAATTGTATACCAGTTTGTTGGGCATGTATTTTGTTAAATTTGGAAGGTAGGGCTGTCATCATTCTTTTTAGTGTTTGTGCTAAAAGCTTTGACACGGATTAAGACTACTTATTGCTATGATCATATATCTTTCGTATTGAGAACTGTGTTACTTTTCTCTTTGGATTGAAATATGTTACTTTTGGATTTCTAACGAGTATATTCTTGTTTTTGTTGTTGTAAACATACTCAGAAAAACGCTATGCTTGCTGGTGCTTTGACTGGAGCTTTGGCATCTGCTGTGACCAACGGTAACAAAGACAAAATCGTGACAGACGCTCTTACAGGAGGTGCAGTCGCCACTGCTGCAGAATTAATCAACTATCTCACTTGATGAATCAAGCTACCCATATCTGTTGTGTATAGAGGGAAGAAAACATCGTGCTTCTATTCTTCCTTAGTTTTGAGGTTTTTTTGAATAATTGAACATTAGAACTAGCACGAACGGAGTTTGTCAATAAAATTACCTTTTATTTTTCATATTTAATGTGAAACCTCATAATGAATGCTGGACCATTTAGTATTACTATCGAGTACTCTGTATTAGAGATTCAGAGGATGGAGGGAATGTTAAAGTATTAGTCTTCTGCTCATTTTCAAATATTACTATCGAGTATAACTCATGAAACCACCACCTCTGAAGCATCCGGAGATCGAGTATGCCCAATCAGGGGTGTGATTATTTATATATTGAACCTCAGGGAAGTTGGAGAATCAATTATTTTCCCAGTCTCTGTCAACCTTCCCTGATCGGATGCGTAACGAAATAGCGATTACTAATACAACTCATTTTCAATAAATCATAACCTTCTCATTTTTCGTTGAAAATTGACTATCAATTTGTCGTTGAAAAGCCCTTCACATCTACAAATTAAATGACAAATTAGTTGAAATGTTGGAGAGTTTGTAACTTTTTAGGGAAGAAAGAAAAGAAAAAAACACTACCTCTTGTTGGCAACCCTCATAAAAGTTATGATCATGATTCTTCATAAAATTTTAAAACTACAGGACACCCCTACAAACCATTAAGAAAGCATTATTGAGCATTAACTAGATTAAACTTGCTAGTTATGCCAACGCGTTTATTGAAGTTTTGCCAATCCTTAAGCAGTTTAGTATGTAAAAACTTTCAATACCTTGATAGATTTTGCCATGTTTTACCTTCACATCACTAAATTTCAAATCAAACAAACAAGGCGCGTCATTCGTATTTGAAAAACAATACAAACTCGATTAGTCGTACCAAAAATTCTAAACTCTACTTTATTACAATCTGTATGTTCGAAAAAGAGTGTCAAGTGAAGTTGTCATGTTATCTCAGCTTCTAGCTCTAACTAAAACCATTAGTACAAATTGAGCATGACATCCTGCATCTGCATGAGGTGCCAGTGTTTTGCTGTAATCATGCTTATATAGACAACCTTAAAACAAAAACACATCAGCCCTCTCTTAAGATACAAGTTACTAAAATTATAAAAACAGAAAGTCTTATAGTAGAATTGAAAATATTGCAAATCATTCCCCACGAAAATCAGATTACACTTCGGAAAGTATGCAGCACCTGATGCACGAAGTTCTTGTCCCGACTGATTTGCAAATTGAAGGCTCAGCCTGCTCACCCACCCAGGCTTCCTTAACCCGTTGCAAATTATGATTTGAGAGTTCATCAAGAACCACGGCCAAAGCTTCTTCCAATCTTGAGGCGATCTTTCGAACTTAAACTCAATAGGCAGATATGTCGGGGCCATGAAAAACAATAATGATTCGTCTCCTGGACCAAAGACATAGAGGCATTTCTCTTTGGAACTCGGGTGTTCATGTGAATACTACAGATAAGATGCTTCACATTTAACTTGCAAATCATGGCCCCCAAAACCCAAGAGAGGAATGAACAGAACAAGCAAGTAAAGTTTGTTCTAAGAATCCAGACAGATATTCTGAACGTAAATTCAGTCCCAAATCAACAGCAGATCATGTTTCTGTGCTCCCAGACCATTCATCCTGGTGAACAACATTTGCTTTCTGATTATTTTCGATAGTTAGAAGTCCTTCAGAAACCCTCACATCACATATCTGCAGCTTTGATGTAGTTTTATTTTCACCACCTAACTCAGATTCACCTTCCGAAGCACTGTTTTTGAAACTGAAGTTTGGACATAAAGTACTGTTGATAAACGAAGCAGAGGCATCAGCTTTGACATAGTGAGTTGATGGAATGCTCACTGTATCCTTATTTGCGGGATAATAACATGGAATTCCGAGTTCAGCTTGTATTCTTTCACTTAGCTTTGCCATTTTAGGCTTCTCACCATGAACGAGGATCACATGCTTTGGTGACAGAAACTTCATAAGATCCATTATTCCTTTACTGTCCGTGTGAGCACTATTTGCCAATTGATGAATCTATAATTGCATAAATTATTGATCAGAGAAGAATTCTTCTTTATATTGAAAAAGGGAGGTAAGAAATAAGAAAGTTAACAGCTACGTAACAGTTAAACAAGAGAATGCAATACAGAAGAGGAAGGCATAATAAATTCCGAACAAAGATAGAATTATTGTTAGACAGGGGCATTGCAAGGTAATAGATAAGCTCATGAAATGTAATTGCAATGCAGAAACAACATTGCAATTTGCAAGAAGTTCAAGGAAGTAAATTGACCATTCATAGTAAACAGGTTCAAGATAGTACTATATCCAAGCCAAGTAGCTTCACATACCAACAATGAAAGCGACCACTGAGGACTAGAGCATTGATTTATTGCTTCATATACTCCTCCATCCCACATAAGTTTTGACAGTTATCATGGTGTTTCAGATGATAACTTGTAATTTGCTTAGCAATAGTTATTTTATTAGAAAAGTAGATAATCAATCAATCAAAGCCTTAATCCCATAGAGCAACACTGGTCTTATGGCACTCCTGTAGAATTTCCCCTTTAACTGTAAGGGAATGCTTCGGTCACATAACACTCCTATGGCCGTTCTCCATTTAAGCCACCCCTGGCCACGTCTTGATCAATGTCACCATTTTTCTAGATGATCGACCCAAGATAATTAAAACATTCACTTATGGTCAAGTCCTTTCCATCCAAGCTCACAACATCATTGCTTGTCCCCCCTCTGTGTACCAAAGCGACATACCAAATATTCAGTCTTGGAAAAGTAAATAATATGGTATTATTACATGGGTCTTATTTATCTCTCCTCTCTTTTGTGCATCCCTTGATTCCTCCCAACCCCCCCCCCCCACCCCACAAAGCCACATTGCGATAAAAAAGAACGGAAGAAGTATTAATCAACCACATATATGTTGAGTTACCTCCTAGAAAGCCTTTCCCTACACATATTAATTTGAAAGCCTTTTTGCATTTAAAGAAATACTCTATATACTGTAGCATTTAAAGGTCACAGCAAAAGTCGATCTCCATTTACTCCTGAGCAAAGTACTTAAAGCACGCCTGAGAGGTTATAAGGTGCAAGCTTGAAGGATTGAGGCCTCAAGGAACTTAAGCTGCCTGAACCGCAGAGGTATCTCACTATCTTTATTCTATATTTACATCAAAAATGATATGGGGTTATGAGGCATTAGAGTGAAATTATTCTACAAACTTCATAGGATTTTTTTTTGAGTTATACATTGCAAAAACTTCTTTGTAATTTATACCAGTGACTGATTGTAGCTTTAACTAACCAGATATACAAGTACTAACTCACTATGCCTAGACATGCCCAGTCTTTTGCAGCCTAAACGCTAAACCCTAGACTCCAGGAGTGCTATTTTCTCAATGTGCATAAATTAAATGATGCATCTAAAGCTGTAATATGGAATAAATTTGAACAATAAAAGAACAATTATGAATATATCGGTATTTTGCTTAGATCATTGCAATTCAAATGGTGTTGAAGTTATAAAGACAACTATAATAACTTGGTGAGACACGATGAAGCTGAAAAAAAAAAAGACCCAAATTACTCCACAATCACCATTTTTGAATGAGAAAAAACAAAAAGTAGACTTGAAACTGTAAGAAAAAGTTGCGCAATAACCTCACACCGCACGTCAATCTGAGTATTGGAGTCCAAATAAATTTTTGTAGGTATCTTAGACATCAAGACTTTATGCCCTATAGTTCCTGATACACACTTCCTGAATCAAATACAGAAAAAACGTCATTGAAGTTCAACAAAAGTGTATAGCATATTAATTAATATGCTAAGGCTCCAAAAAATATCCAACGTAGTTTTTAAGCCATCTTGTCTATTTAAAGTCACTTCATGCAAATTCCCTCTGCCATATTGATGAAACTTAAGGGAATCACCTGACAAGAGGTGTGAATTTGGATGATCGGATCGGGTCTAATGAGATCGGGTCGGGTCAATTTTTAAAGTTGAGTCATAACAAATTATTGTGCCCACGTGAGTCGAAATTTGAATCGGATATTTTTCGGGTCGGTTTCGGATCGGGTCGGGTCGGGTGTGGTTTTGACACCTCTACACCTGACTAACCTAATTTTTTTAAGCAGAAAGTGCAATATCTATACTAGAAAGAGTAGAAATGTAAACCTATATACCTAGAAAACTAAGAAAGTAGAAAGGAAATAACAACTACAAAATCTTTAACACCAATGAAAAAAAAACAACTAATATATTTTTCAATTAACATAAGAGTTATAAGAAACCTAACTTTCATCTGTGCTTTATTATTATATTATCCACATTGATCCTCCCAATGCTAATGTCCATACGAAAGGTATAATCTTAAGAGGGATATTAACTTTTAAGATGAAATTTGCCACAACCCAATTGCTTGTGGGTGGTTCTACTAATCATCCTAGAAGTAGGACAAAGCAGAGGAGTGAGACAGAATGTTTCTGGTCTTAGATGAACAATTTGTGCTGAGCACATCTCGATTTCTGACTCAGCCTAGGAATTTTTATAGTTAATAGAGGAAGAGGGCGCCTAGACTAATGGAATCATGGAAGAGACAATATATGGGAAAGTAGAAGCAGAGGAGCAAAATATGGAAAATGCAAGCACAAATCAAGTCCTTCAATGACCAGGAATATATGCATAGATTATAAACATAGATTAGCACAACATAGAGACACCCACAGAAGCATGGCATAGTTTCACATGAAGTATCTCACATGTAATAACACATTATACCCAACAAATATAGAAATGAAGAGAGATAGTACCCGGGCAAAGTAACAAGGTTATTTTCTGAAGTTGCCCACTCCTTGAAAACATCAAGTGAAAATCCACTATTTAACATCCCCGGTGTTGCAAAGAGAACACAAGGACCAGTAGCATGTATCAGAGAACGATCAAAACTAGATACTGCAAAAAAATTTATTTCCTCAGTAATAACATGAAAGAAAGTTTGTTTGACAGTGACCAATTTTACTATTGAATATTGATCTCGTTAAACTAAAGTTCACAACAAATTTAACTTAAAAATTGCAAGCAAACACTACTTTATGTTGATTTGAATCTTTGATCGGCATATTCAATGCCATAACTGTGTGCCAAGGCAAAACAGCAAAGATAAGGAACCTGATACATAGCCTTACAGTAGAATACTTTTGCTGCTACATGCAAAATGTAAATGTGAGGCAGAGAGTGAGTGCACAGAACAAAGATGCTTAATCAAGTGAAATTAATTGACTGGCATACATCAGATTGTGGCAATGGACAGAATTAAAGATATCCCTTCTAACATCCTCTTCACAGAATTTCATAGGGACGCAATTCTTGAAGTGACGTTCATATGAATGGATTTAAAAGGTGTAATAGAAATTAATGTAGGTCAGACAAAATTTTGGGTTTTGGGCCCCTATTTAATTAATTCATATTATTACGTCTAATATATTCTTGAAAGAAGCTCATTTTACAGAATTTGATGTTGTATCCTAGCATTTGTTTCCAAATTTTATGGCAGTGTCCCAATTTCCCAAATTTGAGTTACAACTTACCATTTGGAAACAAAGATAAGTTTTCAGCCCATGTCTAGTTAACATATAAAATAGCACAAACACTTTACCTGATTGCAAGTAACAATGATTAAGCAAAAAAGAAAGTGGGCATGATTGCCTGCAAAGAACAAAGACACATTGGTCTGTTTTTGGCATTAAATTAAAAATTCAGCACAAATCACTAGAACCAAATTGCTTGACAGATGACAGGAAATATGAGAAGACCATATATTAAGAGGTTATTTTGAATGTTGAAGAAGATATAAAGACCATCAAGCAGCTACACATGAAAATTTGTCCAGTAGAATATGCATCAATGATTGGAAATTATACACACTGAATGCAACACTAGTTTGAGATCGTCGAAGAAAAGACAGAAACAAATGCAACGACAGAAAGCATATTAACATATGGTTTAAATTTGTTATGTTAAAGTTAGACTCCGGATTTAAGCTTGCTTCTATGGAGCCTTAATAGAGAAATCAACCATTGATGTACTAACAGAAATTTAGCAATGGATTAAGAATGTAGTCTGCTTATTGTCGGAGCAAATTCTCCTTTACAAATTTTGGGGAATTTCATAATTGATGAAATAATAACGCTGAAAAACTTGTAAGACCTAAAGCTACACAGTCTGCATACATCCTGTGGGAGTCTCTTTACACAAGACCCTTTACTAAAATAAAGAGTCTCACTTCCTACTTAGTAGCATATAAGAAGGAAAATAAAATAAAATAAATGACATTTAATTCAGACAAACAGCTTGTGTTAATGTTAGCAAAGCCAATAGCATCAAAAATAAATATAAAAACAATAAGCATGTAAGAGTAGAGCTGCATTAACAATTAGCAAACAAAAGGAGCACTAAAAAGTTGTTAAGGTTATCAATTACTGCAAACTTTCTGCAGATATTTTACTTTGATTTTAAACATTTCGATGACCATACCATGTTTGAAATCAAATACATTGCGTGCAGTGCATGCCTCTTTCATCTTTTGACTAGTCCAGCTTGTAAGCATCTTGGAATATGTATTGGCTTGGATTGTCAAACCTGGAAAAATAAAGCCAAATCAAAGGTCCTGCTGATATCACAAAGAGATTAAGCGGAGTTGAGAACAGACTTATAACTTAAACGAGATAAGCATATTGCAGGTCCTCAAATTTTGGTCAATACTGCCTCGGGTCCCTCATTTTGGATGGAGACCTCTAAAAGCTACCGAAACCTCTAACCTTCTGACTGAAATCACTAACGAACATTAAAATAAATGAAAATCAATGCACTACACACTCTCTCTTCCCTTAACTAAGCAAGATAACATTTCACAGCACAAATGCTCCCTATATAAATACCAAGAGTTTATTTCAATCAACTAATGGTTTCCCTAGCATGCAATCATACACATGAATGGCAGAGTCTAGGAACCCCAGACCTAGTCAGCCCCGCCCCATTTTTTAGGGTCAAATATCTATGATCTGTTGGACTTTGGTCGAATTTAGATCCAAATGTTAAAACTCGGTTTGGGTCCTACCCATGGACCCTATCAATAATTTAGACAACAATATAATATAATAATATATTGATTTATATCCTAGGCTTCCGCTTATGTAACAAAATGGCTATTTGTGTTCATGTTTGTTTGTTGATTTTTCTTATGTGTTAAACCAATTGAAACTTGATTTTAGTCACCTTGTAATAGATTTATCTAGTATCAAGATAATGTTTTATGTGATAAATGTGATAGTAATAGTGGCCTAAAAAAAACCAGGGATGAAAAGCTTAAAAATTATTAATTGCTCAAGACTCATTTTATACCCTAGACCCAACAGACCCAGTGGATTGAATAGAGCTTGTACTGTTGTTTAGCACTGATTGTAGGTACATGGTATAACTTCACCCTCAAAGAGGATGCGTGCTATAAGAGGCTCAAAGAGTAATAGATTTCACGCAAGGAATTTTTCTAATAAAATACTTGTGATAACGGTGTTTTAGAAGAATAAGAGATTTTAGAATCAGATAGGTGGATAGATGATTTCGACCAAAGCTGTCGATTTTTCCTTAGCTGAACTCCTATCCCTTTACTGAGCATAAATCATTGACACAACCTGCTTCAGTCATGCTTGCTGTATAAGGAGTTACGAAAACCTTGTCCTCTATAATACTGTAACTTTCATTTTCTTTTCTTTAGGATAAAATTTCATACCAGTATTAATAACCTTTCTAACATAATATTGCAACAACGCACAAAATCGTGTAATCTAGTGACCTACAGTTCTAGGCATCTTGAATACAAATTTGAGTGTAAATGTAAGTAACAAACAAACCTCCAGAAAGGTATACAGGAACCTTCAAATTCATCCGCTCCCAGTAATCTTCCAACAATATACAGAGTTCCTGCAGTAAAAATTTCAATTCTCAGCATAATAATAATAAAAAAAAAAAAAGGTATGACATCCATCGGATATTGATAAATGACTGAAAATACATGACAGATGCCTGAGCAATGTTATCAACACATTGTCAAGTGGACTAACCAACTAAGGTATCCCCTGACCTATCTTACATAAGCCAAGGCTTCAAATCTGCTTCCCAAAATGAATGAAAACCAGACACAATAGCGACTACTAGGATAAAACTCTCAGTAATAAGTACATTTTTATCTCAGTTATCTGTGTATCCTGTTCCCCCTAACAGTTAAAAAGAACTGCTTATCTCCAGAACAAAAGGTTTGTTTGATTGCCATCTTGCTTAAAGATTAAGAGTTTAAATACCCTTGTTATTTTCCTTGAGTGATGATAAAAAAAGAATTACAGTGATTTTGATGCATTTAAGGTAATGAAACAGAAACCACAGACACCTTATTATATTTCCGACATTGATAAAAGTAGTAAAAACATATATATATATATATATATACATATATATATATATATACATATATATATATATATATATACATATATATATATATATATTTTCAGCACATTGAATAGAGAACATGTTGAGACTCAGAGAACATATCATTTCCAGTATACTTCAAATTAGATGGTGACATATATGCCCAGGCAAAGTTATTAAAATCGAAATTCTACTTTGAATCGGAAGGGGCTTTCAGAATCGAATCGTAGAATCATACGATTCTACCGACATGCATAATCAAGATGTCATATCCAAATTTAATTTAATATAATATTTAAATTATGAGTTCGAAACCTAATTATTAATTGAAAATAGTTGTTTACTCATTAAGAAACCAATAATTGACAATATATATTTATAAATAACTATGTATGCATGTTTTAAACTTGTAAGGATTTCGCTAGTTAAGAGACATATGTAAAATCGGGTAGAATCGTAAATCAAATCGTATGACATACATAAATCGTAAAATCGTAAGATTCTAAGATCTAAATCGGGATTTTAATAACAGTGAGCCCAGGTGTAATGGCATTTTGGATCTAGTTTGTAGCCAATAAAATAAAAGGCCATAATGAAACTTATTTTCATCTAAGCTAAAATCTATTTAATCTAAAAGATTTATTAAGTATGCATGACAGCATTTGGACTAACCAATGCAGAAGCGATTACTTCAAATTCACTCACTGGATTACATAAAATATATATGGGAAAGATTTGCAACACTTTGAAACAGGCAATGGTGACGGGGAGGAGGGAGGGATACTTTTTGTTGAAGAGGAGAAAACATCAAAATAGCTATATATTGGTGGAGATCTACATAGAGATAAGGAGAATATCGCAAAGGTTTTAAAAGTGTTCAATGATGATTTGGCTATGGAAGAAGGTTGTGAATTGTGATGCTTGGACTTGCCACTTCACCCCACCATACTCATGTTGACACGACCCAACCCATGTGCGGAGATGGGATATGGGTCGTACTAGGCATTGAGAAATTGTACTAAAAAATTTCTAGCTTTAGATCAAAAATTGATGTTAACATACACAAGAACAGTCAAGACATTGGGGTTTTTTTCCCTGCTTGTAAGGGAGACCTAGTTGGTACAATTTGCAGGCATCTAAATCCCTCCAGCCACCTTCTCCAGTGACATAAGCTTCTTATTTAGAGTTATGCTGACTTTATTTTTTCTGCGCTCTGTCTTTTATTTTAGTGGGGAACAAGCTGTCCCTAGTTTATTTTATTTATCCAGTAATTTAGAGATTACCAAGGTTTTATTTATTTATTTATTTATCCAGTAATTTAGAGATTACCAATTAAATGATACTGCCATTTACCATCCCCACAACCATGGTTGTTGGAATTAAAATCTAATTCACTTATCCACCATGATAGAGCTCTATAAATCAGCAGATTGTCAAATTTCACGTGTTTTACACCCATAATCACTACACCTAAAACAATACCTTAAAAAAAGCATCTATAGAAAAGCTTTTTTATATTCTTTTGCCTACAATCATTACATAGGAGGGGCATGAAATTGAATTCTGGAAAAAAAAAAAATACAAACTTAATGAAGGTTCACTATTGATTTTAAAAAATTGAAATTTACAAAGTAGTCAATGCAGGAGTATCACTAAAATGGCACCTCTACCTCAAAATAAATGACCTGATAAAAAAATTATTTTTATGCCACTTTAAGAATAATCATTTTTGGTTCATGTAGCCGACCCCACTTATGGGATTAAAGCTTTGATTAATTGATTGATTGATTGATTTAAGAAATCAGAAGGTAAAGATGTCGAAATGGCTAATGATGTCATAAAGTAGTGACAATACCTGAGTCCTCCCAACAGCAAATGTTGGGATGAGAACTTTTCCCCCTTTATCAACACATTTATGTACCTGCAACAATGGTAAGCAGATCTTAGCAGATAGTCAAATATTTCATATTTCTCCATTGAATGTGAATTACCAAACCTCAGGAACATATGGATACAAAAAATAAACTTAAGCAGCTTAATGTCAAGTCAGAATACTTCATGCCAACTAGAAAACATTTATAAAGATGCTAAGTGATCAAAAGAAGGGCGCAATCAAAATGGCTTTTTGAATAAGTTTTATGGAACTTAAGAAGTCTTAGACTTTGCAAATAGATAGAAAGTAGCCTATATGACATACAACCGATCTAAAATTATATACTCCATCTTTAATGGAGTAGATTACATACTTCTATTGTTATTTCAAAACTTGTTATAAGAGCTAAAATAATCCTAGGTTGGATGGGGAAGCATGAAGCCGCTTAAAGCCCTGCCCTCCTCATGGTTTCCATTCTTTCCAACTTTCCTTCTTTCACAAAATGAGGGATATCGTTGAGGATAATTTGTGTACTAACGTCAAAAGTTGATTTACAAGGGGAAATACACTGCAAGATATGTGCCACACCCACATTTTTCATATACCAACCATGCCTGGAAACCATTAAACACTTAAGACAGAGTAGTCTTTGTTGCACAATTTACAAACAAGGCAGATAAATCCTAGTCCAAAGACAAAATCACTTCCTCCAACCTAGATCTCAAAATGATCAAACAGCTTCATTAAGGAAAGGGGTCTGGACATTAATCTTGTGGACTGTAATTGTTGTTGAGGTGGTACACTCCATGTCTCCATGAAAAAGAAAAAAGAAATACTAGCCGGTTTGCTCTATAATTCAATCTTGAAAAAGCTTGATGGAAATCCATTAGACAGTGCCTTTTTTCATCATAATCTAGATACATAGTCAGTTAATTTAATGATGGACTATTGCTAAAGCATGATCCTTTGTTTGATTACTAGTATGAAAACAAACCCTTTTGAGTACTCAAGAGGCCTTTGCCATGGTGACTTTGTGTCCCTATGTTTGTTTAAAGCCCCTAACTCATGTAAAAGAAGAAAAAGGTGGACCCTTCTTGGTAAGTAGGAAAAAAGTTCCAGAATTCCTATTTCCCATCTCTTGTTATCGATGATTTACTTATCTATGAAAGAGTAGATGAAGACAGTGCCTTCACCATTAAAGAGTTCTCAATCTCTTTTTTCAACCAAAAGATGTACAAGGGAAAAATTGTGTTCAAGGAAATCCCTTGAGGATGAATGTGCTATGTTCAAGAGCACCCACAACCTTTTCAAAGAACTTAGAATTGTGCCTTGGTATGCCTATCTCCCAAAAAGGATCCAATAGAACTAAAGCTCAATTTGTTGTAGTCAAAGTTACCTCCTGGCTGCTTTGGAAAACTAAGTTCCTCTCCAAAGCAGGTAGCTTGGGCCTGATTAATTTAACACTTACCACCACCCCACCCAACTATATGCAAAAATCCTTTTCACAAAATGCAATTCTATAAGGAACTTGATAAAATTAGCAACAACTTTCCATGGGGGCAAGGAAGTATAAAGATTCATCTTGTTTTAAGGGAGACAACTTTCATACCAAAACATTAAGGAGGCAGATATCCATGATCAAGGTTTATACGGCTAGGTTTGGATAAAAGCTATCAAGGGTTAATAATCTAGGGCAAGAATGCATTATCTCCAAGTATGTTCATCATGTCACAAAATTTCTTCTATGGATCCCCAATTTGGAATATTTGGGTAAGGATTTGGATTTGCTTTCTGCTAACAACACTAGAACTCTTATCCTTCAAAGATTCTGCAACAGGGGCGATGACATTCTACTATCTCCCTTCTTTGACGAAGCCTGCCCCTATTTGAGGGATATAAATATAGGGCTTTGACCCGATGGAGCTCCGACATGCTCTAATTAAGACCTTGCACCATTTCTCAGAACTCCAATGACGTATTAAATTTGGAAAAGATTTCTGCTCTGATGTCCCACTCACTTTACTTTATTAAGGTTTGTATTGAATGAGTAGGTAGTTTTGTATATTTGCTCACAAGGTAAGAAATAAAGTAAGAAGAGATTATGGAATTGAGTTAACTATAAATAAATTGGGACAATCTTTTAGAGTGAAACAAAAATGAAAAAGTAGTAAGCTTCTAGGAAGGGTGCATAATTTACAAATATCAGAAGTTAGAATATTGTTGGATAAGTCTCAATTAAAAAAAAAAAATAATAATAAAAAAAAAACAATTAATTACAATGTGTGGGGTGCCATAGCTTTAACTTTGGCATAGAGTTGGTTGTACAATCGCATGATTGCAAGGAGGCTTGTGAAGAACTGAATAAGGACAATTAAATCAAAGATCCTGAGAGTCATAGGGTATTGTACACCTTCTCTTCTTTCACACAGCAAATTATACTTGTTTTTCTAAAAAGTGCTCATATAAATGATTCCCCGCAGCTGTGTATTCCAAAATATTTAGCATTTCATCTTGGAATATCAAATCAGAGCAAATGGGTTCCCATTAAAATCAATAATTTCTCCTCACCAGGGACATGCTACTGTACACAGTTGGCCCTGTTGCCTGTGGTTTTGAGCGTCACAATGAAACATTTGAGTCTCTAAATTCCTAGTTATGTCCCATATCATTGCCTTCAGACTACCATATCTAAAAATTTAGTTGTCCCTTCAGACTGGGAAATTATTTATTCAATCCTTATCTAGAAAGTATTAGGCAATTGGCACTAAACCTTATAATGAACTGAATAATTCAAAGAGAACTGGATAGGAAAAGAAGAGGGATATTTTCAATGGCTAATTGATGATGGCAGCATACAAAATCTCTGAGCACTTCAAGAGGCTCATGTGCCAGTCATGTCAAACTTTCCACATGGGTCCATTCTTCTCCCCTATCTCCTATTGTTACTATCCAAGCTTCTCCACCTACTCTAACTACTACTTTTAAATACAAATTCTCTTGAACAAAAATCAAAATGATTTGCCCACATTGCCCTGCTAACAGAATCGTACTGATTTACCCATAGTATCCTTGCCTTTATGCCTGGCATGCATCAGCACAAAAAAGGGGCTGGATGGAGGCAAGGAGCCATTACAAACCAATCTTTTTGTGACCCTTAGACCAAAACCCACAAAATATGGCAGCTGAACCAATCTTTAGAGTTAACAATTTGAGAAGATTAGACAACTAAGAACTGTAAAGAGCAAAATAAGTTTATCTTACATTATTCAAAGGGCTGCAAGTCTATATGTAGTTATCTCAAAGGAAAAAAAAATTCTCCAGTAAATGATACTGCATTCACAATTCTATGCCTCACAATTCTCCAGTAAATGATACTGCATTCACAATTCTATGCCTCACACAAAGTTTCTTAAAATCTTTAAAAGAAAAAAGAATTGAAAGGGACTGACATTACCATGTTTTGAGAATAGAGCAAATGTACTTACAGCTTTGAGAAATTCTCTTTCATGAGCAAATTTAGAACCACGGATTGTTGTGGCATAAGTTGACCTGTAACAAAAAATAATATTATGTCTCCTCCCTCAAACCAAACTACTTTTATGAGATTTCACAGCAAGATAAATCTTTATACTATAATCAGATAGACATGCATAGCAAACAAATAGAAACAAATGCATAAGACTTCTACCAACAGACCTAATACCCACTATATCAGATGTAGGGGTGCTAATCGAGTTGAGCAGCTCGCGAGCAACTCGTGATCGACTCGGTCAACGCGCGGTTAAAACTCGACTCGAGTTGTCTCGACTCGGACTAACTCGACTCGAAACGTTAATGAGCACGAGTTGAGCAAGCTATAACTCGACTCGATAAGCTCATGAGCAACTCGATAATTTTTTATTATTTAAATATTATAAATACACTTATACATAAAAGAAAAAAATTCCAAAACAATCTAATAATGTAGTGGAAAAATTATTGTACATAAAAAAAATTGAATAAAGATAATGTAACTAAGTATTTTCGGAAAAAAATAAATAAATAAAAAAAAGAAAAGCCAACAACTTAAGTCTCCCCATATAATAATAAATAAAAAATAAATAAATAAAAAAAAAAAAAAAAAAAACTAAACCCTAAAATCCCACCCATCCACCTCTCTTAGAGTAAGTTTTCTCAGATTTTCTTTTTGCTTCCTCTCAAACTCAAGTCTTTCTATCTTTCTTCTCTCACCCTTCAATTCCTGATTTCTTTTTTTATTCAATTTCTTTTTCTTTGTTCCGACTCCGACGAAGGCCGCCGCTACCACCTTTACGACCATTGCCTCGTTGCCGGCATCAACGAGTACCCAAGAAGGTCATCTACAAGGACTCCACTAAAAAGCAAGCGAAGATATCATGGGTGGAAATTAAACTTGAAGTTTGATGTAATTTACATCTTATTTTTCTGGGTAATAATGCTAGGGTCGGTAGATCTGAATTCTATTGATCTGAATGACTGAATTTCTATCTTAACATTCATGTATGTTTGATGTAGTTTGTATGTAAAGATTAATTTTATGATTATTGTTGGGCAAATTTTAGCCTCTTAAGAATTGTGATCTTCTGGATCTTGTTAATTTATAATTTGTAATTGAATTTTTATAAAATCACTCAATTTTCAAATTAAAATCTTACATACCTACAAAAATAAGGCCAAAATATTGAGCAAAATCTGGGTACTATTGAGCTTTACGAGTTACGAGCTACAATAAAATTAATCGAGCTCGAGTCGAACAGTAGGTTAACGAGCACGAGTCGAGCACGAGCCACGGTTTTTGAGCATGAGTCAAGCACACCTTAGCTCGTGATCGACTCGCTCGATTAGCACCCCTAATAAGATGTATGCTTCCTTGCTCTTGTAACCCTCAATTGAATGTGCATATACTACCAGACCAACCACCAGCACCAACCAGCCCCGACAAACTTTATTCCTCCTTTTCTAACAACCCCCCCCCCCCCTCAATTTGACTGATAAAACCCCCCAAATGCCAGCCACCAACCGCCACCTCAACTTACCACCACCTAACCATAATGCTAACCAACGGCTACCTTGTCCAATCAAAAAGCATCCACAACCACATTATGATCACTAAGGAAGAGAGAAAGGAAGAGGAAGCAAAAGATCTAAAGACACGAAAACAACCAAAAGAATTAGGATTACCAATAGTCAAACTAGAAACTAAAAAGCTGGAATTTTATGGTCAAATCTGACCATAATTCGGGGATTTTAAAGGGGAGGTGGTGGAAGTAGATAAAGTTAGTGAGAGTGGGTAGTTAGAGTTATCTACTCAAGCACACAGGTGAATTAGAGCCTTAGAGGGTTTCCATTCCTTCTCTAACCTATCCCTTTTTTTTTTCCTTTCCCTTTCACCTCTCTCCATCAAACGGCCTTTAATTGTATCACTCCCTAGTCTTATGAACTTAATTTTGTAAAAAAGCAAATAGAACTTATTTATGCTACAATGGGAGATTATTTAGACCTTTCAATTTGAAAGAAACTTACTTGTGCTAATCTAGACAGAAACTTAAACTTTAAGAAATTTTGACTTTTACTACCACTAAAAAGCACTACTTTGATTTTTACTACCCATCAAAAAAAAAATTTACTAAAAAAAACGCGAAAAAAAATAGATTTTGCTACCCACTAACAGTTTCGTCAAAGAAACCATTAGTGGGGCCCACTCTCCAACTATAAAATTTGTTTTCTTGAATCTTCTGCTAAGGGTCCAAATTATGCTCGAAATTGGCAAAAAAATTAATGTAAATGCCTCGTTTTGCGTGTCAAGAAATGTATCGATTTGCATGTCACTCTTTCTTTTGCCGTGAAAAATGCTCAGGTAAGGTTTTATGGGTCATTTTAGTCCTTAAGGGTCCAAATTGAGCTCGAAATTGGTAAAAAAAAAAAAACGTAAATGTCTCGTTTTGCGAGTCCAATAATGTAGTTGATAACAAAAGGTAGTGGTTCATTTTTTTTTCTTTATGAGGGAAAGATAGTCATTAAGACACATTACGAAATTCAGAAATATATCATTTAATTCATCCTTGTCTTTTTTTCAATTCTCAACAGTTTAAAAATACGTCAAATTACACACACAAAATTTAATGTAAAAAAGACATTAAATGCAACAGATTTAGAAGATTCTCACTCAGTTATAACAAGATCCAACTGCAAACGATCAATTTGAGCAGCACCAAGAAGTCTATCAGGCGTCATATTATAGTCCCCTGTGTAGACTATCGCATTATCTCCCACCCTTGCATAAAACATTGCAGCACCAATAACCTAGGAATTCTATTACATGTCAGGACTCAGGAGAGCAAAATGAGGGGGTCTAAGTTCAAAGTATTAATTCGAATAAAGGCAAGTAAATCAAGGCAACAATTGGAAATTCAAAGTAAGACTCTTTTTTTCAGTAGCAGACAGTCAAGAGCACCCGGATTTAATAAATACAAATTGTACAAATACTACGTATTTGATTTCGGGTCGTGAAGACACAGAATACAGGTGCAGAAGAGTTTTTTTAAATCAGTTGAAACAGCCGACACCAGAAAAATGCATTAGTGCACCAGAGTTCTCATAAATCGTCGGATGATCAAATGAAATTTGATACAATCAAGTCGTGATGTACCATGTACGGTGTGACAATCAACAAGTATGGTAGGGGCAGTATAACTCTCTTCAGAAGGCAATTACAGGCACAGGAATGAGAAGACATCATAGAGGCAATGAGCACAAACTAAAGTTTCAATTAAACTATAGAAAACCCAATGTCAAAGCCACAGCTAAGATGAAGGGTTCTTATCCTTCTAAATCCTTCGCCCTTCTTTGAGCCTTTCATTGATCCCCCTCCTCTACGTCAAGCAGCTAAACAAATTTTCCGATCATCTATCATATCAAAAGGGCTTTACACCATATAATCATATCAAAAGGGCTTTAGACCACAATAAAAATAATAAAAGAAAAGCTTTTTTTTAATGATCATAACAGATTAATGTTGGTATCACCCAAAAGCTTTTAAAGATCTCTATTTGACCAACAGATTGCTGTCAAACCTCATCTCACCGTGTCTCAAACAAAAATTTCTTCTCCAAGTGGACATAAATGGCTTGAACTACCTATAAACAGGAACTAACACTACAACAATGGTTTTAGTTCATATTAATATTATATAACTTGAGGCACTGAGTAATAACATAAAGAAATGAGGCCATATGTCTGTCTTGACAAATAGGTAATACTTACTTCACTTTCTTTAAGGACTTAATTACTTATTTCATATCACATTGGACCACACTAAAAACAATCATATCAGAACTTTAAAACATCATGTTCGCTCCATCTCTACACATAGCACATACAGGGTAAAAAAGTAAATATCATCACCTAATTTACGCTGAGCAAAACATAACCTAAACATAAGAACAAAAGTTTAACCATACTATATTTATTACTCCATCATTTCAAATAGGCAAAAGGATAGATTAAATTCTCACATGACCAGCATAGTAGGCACGAATTTCAAGATCTTCATCAACCCAGATAGTTTGCTTCAAGTCCACTGCTATAACTGCAAAGATATAGCAGGAGTTATACTTTAAACTTGCTTACTTTCTAACATTTGGAACTTACAGATGGTGAAACATAACCCAAAATTTCAACATATGTAATTAATCCCGGTAAGCAACAAGATTCAATAACATAAAGTACAAGATCATGGCAGTAACTTGCCACTAACCTACATAGTTCTGATTTGTATTTGCACACGCAGAGCTTGCTTGGAAGATGGTATTTTAACTTATGGGAACAATAAAACTAAATTAAGGTGTTGTCAATAGGTCAAGGCGATGGTAATAAAACAATAAGGTGGCATCATGAAACCACATTCTTTAGTAACTTTCCAGTTTCTTTTGTTTCTTTCTTTCATTCTCAAAGCATAAATTATCTTAGTGATCCAAATGAACCAAAAAGTACCAATGCAAATCCATAAATCAGAATCCTTGCAGAGGAATAATTTGTCAATGACCATTACCCTACTAAAATTTTAGCTTTCAGAAAAAATCTATAAGTTGCCATAAATGAAGAAGCACATAAGAAGATGGACACTATCTCGAGCAACAAAGACTTTGTTCTCGGATTGGTTATAAAAGTAACAATCGTGTCTCTTATGATAACCCACAAGAAAACATTTGTGACTTAACACTTGTCAAACTTTGATGCAATTTATGTCACTTGACATAAACTTCGCAACCCCAAATCTTTAAAAAGGAAACAAGGACTTTGCTCTCAGATGTAATACCCTTTTGTCCTCTATGGATAGCCCACAAAAAGACATTTTCTAGTCTTTGGTGCAAGTTTGTGTCTTGACATAAACTTGCAACCCCAAACCTTTAGAAAAGATAACCTAAGAGGTTTCCCCGTCCATAACTCGTATGGAGTCTTTTCAACAACTTTTAACAGAACACGATTCAGCAAGAGTGCACATCATTGACCAAACCATATTTAATAAAGTTTTATTCCTCTTGAACACTCCATTCCATTGAGGCATTCCATAGTGTGTCAATTTTGATAGAATATCGTATTTTATCACATGATCATCGAATTCATGGCTTAGATATCCAACCTCACGATCATAATATTCTAGCCAAGTTGATTCTCTACTTCATTCTATAATTCTTTGAGCTTGTCAAACAATTTAGATTAATGTGACATTAGGTAGACATCGCCACATCTACTAACTTCACGGTAAACGTGATGAAATAGTAGAAAAACCTCTAGCAATGGAGCTCATAAGGCCATACACGTCTCCATGTATTAAGCCTAGTAGCACACTTATTTTTTCTCCTAGCTTGGAGAAAAGTAGCTTTATCGTTTTCCAAACAAACAAGATTCGCAATTATATTCCAGAACGTCATCTTGCATGTGTTTTATGTTTATATGGCATAATTAACAATGTCACAGATATGTGATATCCAATCAATATTCTTAATTCTTTTGGTATTACTCTTTTGAATTGCACCATGGTCTATATGTGCTTTGCAGGATGGCATTAATACCAAATACCAATTATACGTGCTTCGAATGATGGCATTAAAGAACTAGTATATAACATTAGCAAAAAATACCAAAAGGGCTAGGAATATTGATTTTGATATATCATTTTTGTGGCATTATCAATAAACATAAAATTATGTAGGATGGCATTAATTGCGAACCTTGTTTGTGTGGCTGAATGACAAAGCAAACTTTCTACAAGCTAGGAAAAAGAGCCACATTTGACTGATTTTTCCACCATCTTATATATGCATAAGAATGATGATACAATCAGAATTCAATGACACAAATGAACCACAATGAATACGAAACTATAAAGCTTGAAAACAAAAGCTGGGTAAAGAACAACATCAACATAATTCACAGTTGCTTCTCCATTGCAACAAGATTTTTCTGTCAGAAGCATATGAAAGCTAAGGACCACAAACAACTACAGCTAAATACTACCTCCGTTTCACATTATGTGCAACAATTGAATTTTTCATATCTCACAAAAAATACTCAATTGTTACACATAATGTGAACAGAGGTAGTACAAGCATTAAACCACCATTTCTAGCAATCTAACTTGAGGTCCCAGAGAGTTTTTTTAAGAAAAAAAGAGGAGGTCGCAAGAGGTGAAAAGTGCGAAAGGCAGTCCCCATTTGTATGCTAAACTCTATAATGTTGTCAATAGTGACTTTAAGTACCTTTCTCCATACAGGACTTGACATGATCTGGAGTAAATTGCCCTTCATCAGCCTCTTGATCAACCATACGTTTACAGCTCTCCTCCAACATTTGAGGAGCCAATGCTTTTGTCGGATGCTGTAAGGCAAGCACTTGCATAGAGAACACGTTATTAATGAGTAATAGAGGGAAAGAATGGGATACATAGGATGAAATAAAACCCCGTAAGAGCAAAAGGACAAGAGGTAAGAAAAGGGGGGAAAAAATCTACATATAAACAATCATATATTTCATTTTGCATAGCTCTTGAGGTTGGGATTTTATATTAACCGATGAGGTTCCAAATTTTCAAAATTTGAAGTGTATGAAATGCAGCTACCTATTGCCAACAAATTATCCTTCTTGCAATTAGCAATAGAAGCATGTCATAGATAACACATCAAGCACAAACTAGTCCATGTACGGTCATGTTTATTGTTGGCATGAAAAAGACAATTCGAAACAGTATAAATTGGCATCAAAACTCTAGGGTAGTACAAATAGGCCATGCTAATTGCCAGATTTTCCTAAGTGTTACATATGTAGAAATAGTCACCAAAACATTAGGAGAATTTTACTTCGAATCTCAGTAAAGACATGTTGCAACAACCAGATAATTTATGGAGTTCTTTCCACTAATTATGATAGTTGAGTGTTAAGAAGGCTTCTCAAAATAATCCCACTTGGATTATTCTCCTTATCCTATGAGACAAAAGATTTACACAAGTCATGAAATAATTATCAATTGTATACAGGGGGAATGAGAAAGACCATGTAAACAAAACCCCGCAAGAGGGTAATTTAAATTGCTAGGATAATCTCAAGAACACAACCAGTAAAATGTAATTTAGTATAATAGTTCTATTATTCTTGGCATACCGTCATATAAATAGGTCCTGAAAACCCACAAACTTCAGTGAAGTAAGGAAGTGCTCCAATATGATCTGAATGACTACAAAACCCATTCAACAAAATGTCAAGCAACAACACAATATATACAATTTGAAGCAATAATCCATACATGTAGCAACAATACAACATACACAATTTGAAGCAATAATCCATAAATGTAGCAGCAATAATCCTAATATCCAAATTCATAGATTAATGTCATTTTCAATAACAATAAAAGTCCAAATGTTTATCGATTTATACAGTCATATCCATCTAAATCTCCATTATAGGGTCACTTCTTCCTATATGCCAAAGCCATCCTACTATAACCTATTGTTCGCGCACAAGTATTAAACACGGCCATTCAATATAATTTCTGCATGATTTTTGTCTCAAATAAAGTGCCCCAATGTCACACTACCAATATACCATATCAAAGAGTGTCAAGTATCCAACACCAGAATTACTAAGGTGAAATGAAAAGTCGGAGTAATATAGAAAAAACTCGATTTTAAAACCATTAGCAACAACAAAACAATCACATCAATAATCAAAGGGCATACGCATGAGTAATAATGACACAGGAAAGAGTATCATCAAATTGACCCGACTTGGAGAGGAGAGAGAAATCAGGGTAACGTTGAAGGTCACGATAACCCATATGCATTCCACAATCAAACATGATTTTTTTTCCATTGATATTGACTATAACACAGCTTTTCCCAACTTCTTGCCCAGCACCTAATTAGAGATTAACAACAACAATTAATTGATTGATTGATTAAACTAGTATAATAGCAAAAGCTTTAATCATATAGTGTGAGTGAAGAATGAGATTACCAAGTATAAGACAGTCGATTGCCATAGTTTTCGCAGTAGGGAGGCGATTATGAAGGGCAGCGCTGCAGAAGGTGAGCAAGAGTGATGTTGGTTAAATTATCAGTTTGCTCACCGGAATTCTCGAAAATTTGCTGGACGAAAAACAGGAGTTATAACAATTTTATGATTTAGCAACCAAATTTGACTCAAATATAAAAATTAGGCATGAAAAATTGCATAAAATTCTTCTCGTTTAAAAATATCAACGTATGCACATTGAAAAATTCTAGCAACAAAATCGCTCGTTATAATCTTGAGTAATTATAATGAATAGTTCAATAGTCCACCTTAGAAGAACCCTAAATCGACTATACTGACAATTAAATGAACGAAGAATTCAGAGTATCCGAAATTGATTATACAGAAAATTAACGATTAACACTCGTGAAATTGATACTCAATGATTAAAAAGAATAAGAAAAATTTGAGGCGCTTCAATGGAGGACAGACAGCTCACAAGCCGCTTCTTACGCTTCAATGGAGGATTTAGAGTACGCTTCAACGGAGGAGTGAGAGGGAGAGGTGGTGCAGCAGGAAGCGCAAACGTGAAAAATTTCCAAAGAGGGATGAAGAAAAATGAGGGGCATTGCCATCTAGTGCATAACTCAGGGGTATTTTTGTCATTTCAGCCATAAATGGGGGTAATTTTGCTATTTCAAATTTTCAATTAATAAATGAGGTAATTTGTCATTTCATCTATTAAAAAAATAAAAAACCAAATAAGGTGGCTGATTTACAAATTTCATAAATCAGCGAAGATGATTTTTCTCAATCAATGAAAATAAGGAGACTTACGATGAATAACACAGATTAATTGCACAAGTGTCAAAAACTAATTTGACCTCAAAACTTGTCTTAAACTAAGTCGTATGTCCCTTTCAAAAAAAGAAACTAAATCGTATGTCCGTGTCTAAATTGATTTGACTCGAGAAAACTTTGATCCAAACCAAACCTATTTAACCAACCTGAAGTTTATTTACGAACACTTACATACTAGCGTAGGTAAATATGCCTATACCCCACCCCCAAGCAAATTCATTATGATACTCCTTTTGTCCCTTAATGATGTGTTTGTTTTCCTTAAAAGAAATCCCTAGATAATGTGTCTGTTTCTATTTCATTCCATTTATAGATCATATTTTTGGACCATAAAAATTAGGCGTGAGAAGAATTCAAAGTACCCGAAATTGACTATACTAATAATTAACGATTAACACTCGTGAAATTGATACTCAATTATTTAAAAGAAGAAGAAAAATATTACCTCTAAACAAAAAAAAATGTATGGTTTACAAATTGTGAAATCAGCTTAAATAATAGCGAAATCCAACCTGTAAGTTATAGGAGCTTTAAATGAAGCTATAAGGGTTTGGTCCGAGTCCACAGTCTTTACAATCAAGGCTTTAACCACTACACCATCTCATTTGATATGAATCAATATTCGCACAATTATGTATATGAACTAAATTTTTTTAGTGGGGGGCCAGTCAACCCTTATCCCCTATTAGCTCCGCCCCTACTTAAACTAAGCCTATCTAAATTGATTTGACTCGAGAAATCTTAGATCCAACCAAACCTATTTAACCAACCTGAAGTTTATTTATAAACACTTACATGTTACATACTAGCGTAAGGTCGTAGGTAAATATGCCTACACCCCACCCCCCAAGCAGAGTCATTATGGTACTCCCTCCGTCCCTTAATGATGTACCTGTTTTCCTTAAAAGGAGTCCCAAAATTATGTACCTGTTTCTATTTCATTTCATTTATATGATACTTTTGGACCATAATACCCTCATTTCTCACTTTTATTCCCCAATCACTCTTTTTTTTTTTTTGTTGTTGAAAAATGCAATAAATTACACCTATCAACAAAGTTGACAATAATGCACTCGTCTTCAAACAAGCAATCAGAATGCATTTCAACCCCCAACTTCTTCTCTCCAGAGTCTATCGAAGTTTCCAAGACTGTGGTATTTGCAATATCGCTAAACCTTATATAAGAAGGGGAAATCCGTCGATGGGGAGGTCTAGCATCCAAAAGGTCAATGAATTTTTTAAGGAAGGGTTTGCTTGGAAAGTAGGGAATGGAAATGGAATCTCGGCAATCAGTATGCCATGGGTGCATGGGAAAGTTCCAGTGGTCAAGTCGGGTCAAACCCTGAGGTTAGCTAGAAATTGGAAAGTCAGCGATCTTATTAACAGGGAGACCAAGACTTGGGATGCAGGGAAGGTTAGAGAATGTTATGAGTGGGACTGGGCACGATCAATTCTAGCACTGGAACTTCCACAGGCAAGTGAGGATGACTTCACATATTGGAGATTTCATCCGTCAGGAAGGTATACAGTAAAAATAGGATACTACTTTTTATCAAAAGACAAAGGGTTAGAGGATGCAAGGTTTTTGGAAAGGGACCATAATTTTATAAAGCTAATTTGGAGAATGGTGATCCAACCAAAATGGAAATACTTTGTGTGGAGACTCTTCCATGATGGTATCGCGGTAAAAGTTAATTTAGCACGTAGGGGAATCCCTGTTGATACAGGGTGTGATCTTTGCAGGGTGGGTGATGAAGATTGCCAACACCTATTCAGGTTTTGCACTCAGGCAAGGGAAGTTTGGGAATCCGGCTTCCTGAATATTTGTCCTGACCAGCCGAATGCCACCTCTCTGAGAGGGTGGATTCAACACTATATCCTGCTTTTTTATAGCGAGGATGGTAAGCATGGGCGTCGTATGGTAGAGTTCATTGCGACACTTTGGGGACTTTGGAAAGCGAGAAATGAGAGATGTTTTAAGGGGATGGAGGGGTCTACTAGTCAGGTAAGCGATTTTATTAACATTGCACTTCAGGACCATGATACTTTCTTCAACCATGGCAACAGTGACTATGGGGGAGAGGTTAGGAGTGGTGAGGACCCAGTTTTTCCCCCGGGTTTTCACCTTGTCCAGTTAGGTAAGGAAGGAGATAAGCTGGATGACTTTGTTGTGGAAGTTGATGGCTCTTGGGATAAAAACTCGACGAGAGCAGGGATAGGGTGGGCGGTTCAAACTCAAGGGCAGGGCCATGAGGTGGAGGGAAACAGGGTGCTGCAGCGTCTGCTATCCAATGTGAAGCCTGGGCTTGTCTGGAAGCCATGAGGTGGGCCCGATTACAAGGAAGAAATGGGATCCTAGTTCTGTTTGATTCTGTCACTTTGGTCAATAGCCTTCTGTGCAAGGCAAGTGAGGTGGTGTCGATAAAGTGGCTCATCAAGGAGATTAGGGAGATAGGATCGACCTTTCAACGATGCGCTATTTTAAAGGTCCCAAGGGAGCAAGTCCAAAAAGCTAATGATATAGCTAGGAAGTGCAGGATTACCCCATCCCTTCTGTTATAAGTGTTTTACTTGATTTTGCTTTTGTAAAAAAAAAAAAAAAAAAAAAAAAAAAACAAAGTTGACAATGACATACGGCAAAATATCGATACTATACGGTGGTCTAAAAAATAATCAAATAGTTTGAATCAAAATATTATGTTGATAAATTATGTACGAAATACATCTTCATTGTTTAGTTGTCGCTCGGGGCCCAAAAATGTCCAAGACGTCACTACCCATGTTCATAACTTCATACCAAACATACCTTAAATATGAAAATTACAATTACATCCCCAAACTTACATGCTCTTTTATGAAAATGGTCCTCCTTGCTTGTTTATGTGAATAGATGATAATCTTGAATATTCTCCTGTCAAATCAAACTTGATTTCTAACTAGTATATTCATGTTTGTCATTTCAAACTTAACCAGAAAAACTCATCCATTGGCAATCTATTAATAGAGCTCTATTGCTTCGATAATATATTTTACTCTGCGCCTAAAAGACAGAATCATGCAGTGGCCTCTGCTAGCGTTTACTCTGTAGTCCTTGCTACTTTAGGTAGAGATGGGTTGTATTGCCACAATGGGTTGTGGAAGAAGCCGAAGCTAGGGGTGCACGATAGCATGTACACGTCCCTCAATCGCATAAAGGGAGTTATGTTCTTTATATGTAGGCTGAAGGAATAGCTTGGAAAGAAGAACATCCTTTTTCCCTGTACTTTATCACAGTTTAGTCCTATTACGTGCTGTAGTAATTGCAGATTTCAACTGCAGTGTACTACAGGCCACAGCATTATGCTCTTGCTGATGTTGCTAGGTCATGTCATCTTCCAGCATTCCTGGCTATGTTTGTGTTTTGATGGATACTCATTAGTAATATAGAAAACAAATTTAGGATTAGTGGCTTAGTGTTATCTTTGGTTAGTGCTTTCTGATATACTCTAAACTAGTTAGTGCATGAATGATTGTTTTAACAAAAATACGTGGTCCTTTGTTGTTTGCAATAATCATCATACATATTTTAATTTCTAGCCACAATAATTTGCTTCTAGATAATTAAAAATGAAATCATAGATTCAATTCATAGGTATTACGTGTCCTTTTAGTGCTGCTTAGCGTGTCTGTTTTAGCTAGTGTTAGGCCCTGATTTTTTGAACTTCTAAGCAGAGCAGAGCAAATTTCAGCATTATTATTATTATTATTATTATTATTATTATTATTATTATTATTATTATTATTATTATTATTATTATTATTATATAGCAAAAACCTACAAAGTAAATTGATTTACAAGAAATTACTGGGGAGCCGAGATACAATCTGGGCCCCCACACCTCTAGCTATAGCGAACCCGATGCTGTTGAAGATGTGAGCAGCTGCACGAGCACCAATATCCTGAGTCCTAGCGAATGTCTTAACCCGCTTCAACAACATAACACTATCCTTCTCTAATTCCCCCAATGAAGAAAAGGAGAAAGGAAGAAAACCATAGCCAATAGACCTGCAACGCGCCCCATACTTGTCTCGCTTCCGCTGAGCCGCAGCCGACACAACACGACCAGGAACGAAGTCAGACCACCTAGATTGTGTCAAAGGAGAAGACCCCTCAAGTCAACACATACATCAAGGCCTCTATCCCAGAAATAAAGCAACACATCTGCTGGTCGAAGAGCCTCGTCGTTCCTTCCAGTCAACCCAACGTTAACCTCCTTTCTTGCAGAAATCCCAGACCAAAAACAAATATCAACAAGGGTGTCACGAACAACATTGTGCCGATGTTTAATACCCACCATCCCAGCACAAGACACTGCATGATCCCCATAAATATCCCCATCAAAAACCCTTGAGCAAGCAGAACACGGTGCCGAAACGGAGAACAAAGGAACACCTAACCGGTAGCAAAGAACACAACGGTAAGTCTTACCATTCATAGTCTGACCCAAACCTAATATCGGGACCGCTCGCAACCAGGCCGAAATGTGATCCCCATGATGGGAACTCCATAAGGCAACCTGACGCGGAGATAAGGAGAAAGTGGATTCTGCAGATGCAGTGACCTTCGTGAAATATATATCTGCAAATTTCTTCATGAATTTGGGGCAGCGATCTTACTAGGGTTACACATAAGATCAGTCTCCACAGTCTTACTAAAAAGACAAAGAGCATCATCGAAGGCCGATCTTGGACTAACAA